AGTAAATCATTATATCAGTGATTTTGTCGAATTATCTTAAAGAAACATAGTAGAAATTGTCATTACTGATCATTACAAAACGTATCGCATGACAAATGTAATGCTCACTGCGTGTATATGATCATTTCTTCGATTATATTTTATATTTAATTGCAATACCTTTCGTGGACCTTTCATAGCATCGTAATGCTTGTTTAGTTTGCACGATAGGTAGCCGGTTTGACAGTTCAATAGGTAGACTTGGCTTCACTCTTGGCGTGACTCATTGACGAGTGCACGGATGGATTTGAGTTCACTCACTCGACAAAAAGTGACACAACAGCGGGGCCCTGTTTACTAAAAATGAACACATATGTGTTCATTTTTAGTAAACAGGGCCCCGCTGTTGTGTCACTTTTTGTCGAGTGAGTGAACTCAAATCCATCCGTGCACTCGTCAATTATACACCGACTCTAAGGGTGGCCAGACCCGAGATGGGAGATGACAGGTGGGCAGGAACTCACGGTCTTTCAGGGTTGGTGAGTTCTTTGCCGTTAATGATCACGAAAAGTTCACTATTTTGCTATACAGAAATTCAAAACAAAAATTTTTATCTGCGGATTTGGACAGTTTTTGACCTGTTTCATACGACCGGAAGGTGTATGCTGGTCACAAATACCGTTGCAAACTGATTTCCTACGCAATTAATCAATCTTTGATGTGCATTTCGCTAATAAACACGAGGAGCATTTCTTATAGCAAACTTGCCATAACAAAATGGGCATGGTTCATTTTAGTAAACAAACTAACACTTCTTCCGACTGTGGCACCTCTCTTACTCGCCTAGGGCCAGACCTACCGATTTATCGGTAGTCCTACCGATTTTCGGGATGCCAAAAAAAGGTTAAAAACTACCGATTTTTCACTTTTCCTACCGAGAATCACAGATTTTTAGTAATCTTGAAAAATATTCAATAGGCCATATAAATAAGAAGAGTTTACTTTACTTTCCCGTGTTTTTCTTACGGAAAAAGTAAAGTAAACGCTTTTATTCATACCCCCTAATACCTATGTGTTGTTTTCTTTGTAGTCAGAATTAGCATTAGAATTAGAAATATTGATTTCGACACGTTTAAAGCAGTCCACATTTCAGTCCACCCCCCCCCCCCTCCCGCTCACAAAGGTTTCAAGTATCGGGAAAGCCTTCTTCAGACGGCCTACCGATAAAAGTTTTGAGAAGCTACCGATAATGAAAAAAAAATAATCTGGCCACCCTGTATGAAACAGATACAATCGTCAGGGTGGCCAGATAATTTTTTTCATAATCGGTAGCTTCTCAAAACTTTTATCGGTAGGCCGTCTGAAGAAGGCTTTCCCGATACTTGAAACCTTTGTGAGCGGGGGGGGGGGGGGGGTGTAATGAAATGTGGACTGCTTTAAACGTGTCGAAATCAATATTTCTAATTCTAATGCTAATTCTGACTACAAAGAAAACAACACGGAGAACAAATTCGTTAAGTTAAGATAACAATCCTAATAGTTGCTTTCACATGGAAAAATATTGTTGTTTGAAAGAAACCTATAGTTATTCCAACATTAATTTGACCGTCAACTCAATCATATCTATCTCACGCAGATGAACACGGTTCAAATCTAAGTTGAATGTTCTTGTTCACTTTTTTTTTATGATTTTGCAGTTGTGTTTTTGAGATCGATAAAGAAGCAAAACAAACTTCCTTAATATGTCGATAATGAAGAGCAGTTCGTTTAATAAGCATTGTAAAATTTTGTTTTCCTAACAATAGTTTTCTTGAATCAACTAAAGCATAGTTGTAATTTGAAGTTTGACGTTTGTTCATCTACTGAAAAATAAAGTTGAACCAACCGAGGAGCCAACTATGGACTATAGTTGTTACCCTCTATATATAGTCAAATCAACTATAGTTTCGGGTTATCTCTAAAACAATTGAACAATATAGTTATTTTGACCGGAAAAATAATTGCGTCTGCTATAATTTGTTCTCCGTGAACACATAGGTATTAGGTCGTATGAATAAAAGCGTTTACTTTACTTTTTCCGTAAGAAAAACACGGGAAAGTAAAGTAAACTCTTCTTATTCATATGGCCTATTGAATATTTTTCAAGATTACTAAAAATCTGTGATTCGCGGTAGGAAAAGTGAAAAATCGGTAGTTTTTAACCTTTTTTTGGCATCCCGAAAATCGGTAGGACTACCGATAAATCGGTAGGTCTGGCCACGCTGACAATCGCGTCATCTGATGCCGCTCAAAGGTAAATCAAGCTGAACATTGCATTAGGTCCTAAGTAACATTGATCGATTCTCTTTGTCGACTTTCTATTACGTTAATAACTTGAGCACATAACCGTGTCTTGTTGTGTTTGTCGTATTAGACGCTAGATAAAAACTTCTTTTATCGATTTGAGTGCTAAAAATACCTGGAAATTTCTTTACATGGCCGTAGGGATACAAAGAGAGAGTCCACGAAGAGAATCTGTCAATGTTACTTAGGACCTAATGCAATGTTCAGCTTGAAATGCTTCGAACAAATTTCTCGATGAACATTTCAAATGGTCCTATCTGATTTGATCGATTCTCTTCATCGAATTTCTCTTTTCATAACAACTGCTATGCAAACAAATTTCGCGCTAATTCTACCACATAGTTTGATAAAGGAGGTTCTTATCTAGCGTCAAAAACGTCAAATACAACAGGAAAAGGTTTTTCAGCTGAGTTATTGACGAAAGAGAAAGTCGCTGAAGAGAATCGATCAATGCAGATAGGACCTTTTGAAATGTTTATCTAGATTTGGGTTTGGGAAGGGTTTGTGTATTTGCTCATTTTTCTATGCGCGTTGCTTCCACCTTCACTCAAGCGCAGCACTACTGTATCTGTCGCTTGAATGTTGGCAAAGTTGCCAGTCTTCTTGATTTGTTGTATTCTACGAGGGGAACGACACATCTAAATCTCAAGTTTAGATGCTTAACAAATCTCACACTAGCGAATCAATCTTCGAAAAATCTTCTTTCATTTGTCGCATCTACTTGCATCGTTCATCATCTTTTTGCAGGAAATCTTCAGAATCGTCATCAATCTTCTTTCTATCTATTCAGCGTGTGCGCAGCTAGCCACAGCAAAACACAATCTTTTTTGCATCGTAGATAGAGTCGTCCCCCTCGGTATTCTATGAGATTAGATGTGTTTAATTGGAAATAGGAATAACTTTTCGGTCCTCAAAACAAAACTTTATTTTTCTCGGATCGGGGCTAATCTTACTCGTCATAATGAAAGTTTGCTCTTGAATTGATTAATTTAGATGGTCAAGTTTTGAACCCACCACAGCAAAATAAAATACTGTGGTAGCCACAGCATACCCTAATAAACGGGTACCATACTCTAACGATATCATAGATGGTACGACTATCCCACATAAAGTTGGGATGACATCCCGAATTGGTGGTTAGGCACTTCTTATGGTTATTGTTTATGCGGGTAGTTCTGTCAAAACCTTTCATTGATCCTAAGAGGAAGAGGAGACAACTGGCTTCTTACTCTTTTACTTCTATCTCCATCTCTATCTTTATCTATCTCTATATCTATCTTACGCACATGGAATCGGCCAATCAGGAGCTGGTTCACGTTTGACAGAAAAGTGGTTCATTTTCGCCCCCGTATTGTCACCTCTTCTCTTAGGAGGAGACAGCTGGTTCTTACTCTTTTATCTATCTGTCTATCTCTGTCTATAGCTATCTCTAACTCTATCTTACGCACTACATATCGACCAATCCCGAGTTGGTTCGCGTTTGACAGAAAAGTGGTTCGTTTTCGCCCCCGTATATTAGGTCGTATGAATAAAAGCGTTTACTTTACTTTCCCCGTAAGAAGAGCACGGGAAAGTAAAGTAAACTCTTTTTATTCATACGGCCTATTGTCTCCTTTTCCTCTTAGCATTGATCCATTATACACGGCGAATGAGAACAACCTAAATTTGAGTTTAGTTCACTCATAATCGCCAAAAGTGCAGGAACTCAGCGATGAGTAAAATTTGTCTCATGGTTTCCTGTGGAAAACCTAAAAAATCTGCCGGAAAATGAGGAAATTGACGAAAATTTTATTCAGTCTCGGAGTAGTACCAATAGACTAAGTGAATCCAATCTTTACTTTTCTCAAATTCGGGAATTTTTCCCTGGAAAATCCTGGAAAAACATGAGGCAAATTTACTCATCGCTGTGTTCCTACACTTTTGGCGATTATGAGTGAACTAAACTCAAATTTGGGTTGTACTCATTCGCCGTGTAGACAACAACACAATTCATCAGGGCAAACATGTCAGAAGGGTCTAACTCGAAACGTAAACAATGACTTGGATCGTCGGTTTCTTACGAATGACAACACACCCACTCAAACTAAAGCATCTGACAGAGAAAAAAAATGTTCGTTCTATGAGCTGGTGTAGTCAGATTCCGTGGGTGTGAGGTCATTCAAGAGAAATCGACGTTCAAAGTCATTGTTTACGTTTCGAGTTATACCCTTCTGACATATTTCCCCTGAAATGTAATATTCCGCTTCTCAAAGTGGGCCACAGTCGACTTACATGTGAGAACCTCTGCCCTTAAGCCGGGTTTAGATGCATCAATTCCGCGTTCAACTCACTTGAACCACGAAATGAACGTCCAGAAATCTGTTCGAAGTAGGATTTGCTCTTTTCGATGTCAACTCAATCGAACGCCGACCACCAGATCGGGGTGAGTTGAATTCAACTCACGTGCCTCATAGAAACCCAACTGTATAGAACCAATAGAGAAACCCATCCAATAATTGTTTGATTATTTTTTGACGCTCACATTTCACCCCACTCACCAACGGGCTCGTTGGTCTAGGGGTATGATTTTCGCTTAGGGTGCGAGAGGTCCCGGGTTCAAATCCCGGACGAGCCCCATAACGATTCTTTTTTTCAACTGCCAATAATACTCACCATGTATAATATTTTCCCGCCATCAGGTTTCATCCGCGATCGCACCAACTACACTGTCACGCTTCACTGTCTCAACGTGGCCACCTACGTGACGGCAGTCAGCTGGGCCGTGGAGATGTTCTACCTAACACCGCGACACCTCCGACGGCAACAGGAAGCAGACAATCTGGGCCAGACGGCGGAGCAGAAAGAACAGCTTCTATCTCAGCAACAGAAACGGGATGTCATCATCGGTAGATAGGTGCTACTTTGAGCATGTTTGTTTGTGTATAGAAAATTGTATTAGGAAATAAAACACTTTCATTCCAAACCACGATGGCAGCAGCACAAAACTTACTTTCTAGGACGACTTAGTAGCGGTAGTGGTCCGGCTTGTACGGTCCTTCGGCCGGCAAGTTTAAGTATTCCGACTGTCGCTGGCTCAGCTTGGTCAGCTTGACACCGAGTTTGTCCAAATGCAGAGCGGCTACTTCTTCATCCAACTTCTTTGGCAGAACGTACACTCCGACCTTGTAATCGTCCGGCTTGGTCCACAGTTCGATCTGAGCCAGTACCTGGTTGGTGAAGGAGTTGGACATGACGAAACTGGAATGACCGGTGGCGCAGCCCAAGTTGACCAGACGACCCTCGGCCAGAATGATAACGTGCTTTCCGTTTGGCAGCAGGTAACGATCGACCTGAGGCTTGATGTTGACCTTGTCCTTGGCGTTCTCGTTCAACCAGGCCACATTGATTTCGCAATCGAAGTGTCCGATGTTGCACACGATTGAATCGTCTTTCATGTTCGTAAAGTGTTCACCCATGATGATGTCGGTACATCCGGTGGTGGTCACGAAAATCTGTGCTTCCTTGCTGGCTTCGTCCATGGTGGTCACTTCATAGCCCTCCATGGCCGCTTGCAGCGCATTGATCGGATCGATTTCCGTGATCAAAACTCGTCCACCGAATCCTCGCAGAGCCTGAGCGCAACCCTTGCCAACATCACCGTATCCGGCCACGACGCAAACCTTACCGGCAATCATCACATCCGTGGCACGCTTGATACCGTCCAGCAGAGATTCACGGCATCCGTACAGGTTGTCAAACTTGCTCTTGGTGACGGAATCGTTCACGTTTATGCACGGAACTCCCAGCTTGCCCTCCTTCAACATCTTGTACAGATTGTGCACGCCGGTGGTGGTCTCCTCGCTGATTCCCTTGATTCCCTTCAGATACTGTGAGTATTCGGCGTGCACCAGGTTGGTCAGATCGCCTCCGTCGTCCAAGATCATGTTCAACGGTTGACCATCCTTGAAGACCAACGTCTGACGGATGCACCACATGTACTCCTCGTCGGTTTCGCCCTTCCACGCGTACACAGGAATACCGGCCTTGGCCATGGCAGCGGCAGCGTGGTCTTGGGTGCTGAAGATGTTGCAACTGCTCCATTGAACCTAAAAATAAAGCATACGGAAATTGAAATCGCCTGATCCCTATCGGGATGACCTCTCCCCTGACGCTCGTGTGCGTCAGCTTGTTTTGAATGAACAGCAAACTTCAAATCTACGTTACTACCGAAAACGACAATCACGCGAGACGTATCCGAGCGAGCAAACAAAAAAAAAGGGGTCAAGGTTATCGCTAAGCTCTTATCTCCCCCCGGACGGTCCAAAATTCTAACCAGTCATTGTTTGTCAGCACGTATATTACTCCATTCCTGCGCAATTGCACCACCCTCGAAGCACTCACCTCAGCGCCAAGTTCGACCAGCGTTTCGATCAGGACCGCCGTCTGGATGGTCATATGCAGACATCCGGCAATGCGGGCACCCTTCAGCACCTTCTGTGGTCCGTACTTCGCCCGACAGGCCATCAGACCGGGCATTTCGTTCTCGGCCAGCATGATTTCCTTGCGGCCAAATTCGGCCAGGCTAATGTCAGCTACGGGGAACGGAAATTTATCGTATATCATCTTGTTGGGTGGAGTTGGAAATTCTAAAAATAAACAACATTCTTACCAATCTTGTACTCGGGCTTGGACATCTTGTAGTCGGTTTTTTTTTCAGAACGAAGCAGAGGAAAAGCACTAGAACCGCACGACTCGAACGCTGGTGAGCAATTGACGAGAACTGGAACTAACTGATACGCTTATCAGCTTTTGTACGAAACGCCGAAAAACCGCACGTGAAGGATTTTTTCTCCGTTGAAAGAATCCGTGATACCGAGAAGCCGGAGAGTTGAGATGAGTAGAGCGGCGTTTTAAAAAACGTGCAAGCCGGACAACCCGCGGGGTGACAGATTAGAATGTGTACTAAAAAGCGATTTGTGTGCGTGCGGGTTGCCAAAATACATTTTAGTACGAATAGGAACAATGTATCCGGGAATTAGGAAACATTTGGATCCGGGAGCAGTGTTCGGAAAAACTCAAAAACTCAAATCTCATGCATGAATTTATGCGCCTATGAGTTTTGCCTGCCAAAATTCAACGTCGCAAAAATCACCGCTGAGTTTTCAGGTTCAAAAATTCATTGCTTTATACGTCGGCGATATTATTAGTTGTTACCCTTGTTTGTGCAAGGGGTTGGAAAACTAATATAACATGCATAAAGGTGTATTCAGATCTAAGCGAGGGGGACGACTCTATCTACGATGCAGGAAAAATTGTTTTTTGCTGTGCTTTGCTGCGCACACGCTGAGTAGATAGAAAGAAAATTGATAACGATTTTGAAGATTGAAGAATGAAAGAAGATTTTTCGAAGATTGATTCGCTAGTGTGAGATTTGTTGAGCATCTAGAATTGAGATTTAGATGTGTCGCCTCCCTCGGATCTAAGCGATATTTCACGCGTGGAGTGATATTTTGCGAAGGTACGAGAGGGAGAAAAGTACTAGTTGTCTCTCTCATTTCAACGCAAATTTTGCTCCGCTCCACTAATGTTCGCTCAGATATGAATACACCTTATAGTACGTTCAGGCTACAGAGTTATAACATGTTATAGCGCTATCTTGATGGTGGTTTCTGTGTTGCAATTATTTGACAACCGTTATAACATGTTATAACTCTCTAGTCTGTACAGCGTTTTAAACATGCTATCAATTGAGGATTGAGTGGTTTTTATGAGTTTAAAGCTGGAATGATTTTTCGGCGTTGTGATTGTGAGTGCGTGAATATGCATGGAAATTTCAAGCATGAATTTTGCTTGCCACATTCTCGTTTATTCTCGCAGGGAGACTCAATGAATGAGATTTGAGAGTGCACGGATAGAAATCTCCTTATACCTTTTGGCAAATTTCTATTGCTGATTATTCATAAAATGTATAAGTCAACTAATAAGCAGACGCCTTGTAAAAAGTTAATGAAGCTCATGTGTCAAATGAAATGTATAAGCGGTCACACATAACTTTTATGCATTCTTATAGGACCTATGTGGTTTGTCTTATGGAATGTATAAGGTTGATGTTTTGGCAAAAATTTATAAGTGAAACACATGAATAAAATAATTGATTTTCGTTTCGTGTGATTTTCCGAACACTGTCCGGGAGTTTTGATCACTTCCCTATAGTAAAATTTGTAACTTGGTTATTTAGCTTAATCGATGTGTTCAGGGCAGTGCTTCAAAACCTCGACCATACACGGCGATATCGACAAAACAGCTTTGGTCGCTCATTCGAGCTAATAGTACGTTCAGACTATAGAGTTATAACATGTTATAGCGCTTTCTTGATAGTGGTTTCTGTGTTGCAATTATTTGACAACCGTTATAACATGTTATAACTGCTCAGTCTGGCCAGCGTTTAAGTCATCTTCATGTGCAGTTTTATTATTACCCAACAAACAATTTGAATAAACTAAAAAAATGCTGAAGAAGCTTAATTTTGCATGAACAAGCTCTTATTCAGCTTTCAATGTTTGTCGGGTAGCTAAATTTGTAAGGAAATTAGATAAATTGAGCAAAACAATTCCTTGGAGCTGTTAAAGTGAATGAATGCATAAAATTACACGTTTTGTTATTTACCAAATGAATCTTTGTCATTGACGAAAAAGAATGAGGTTTTGGGGGTAAGTCACTCTGCCACCTTGTGACTGTAATGGTTGTGTTTTTTGCGAGGTTTCTTGTGTGTTTTTGAGTGTTGGAGGGTGTTTATTCATGGCGACCGAGCTGCCAATACATTAATCGAAAAATTATGCTTGCTGGCAACCATAGCGCTGAAAATAACAGATCTCTCTGCGACTCCTTCGTTGATGTTATTTAAAAATCACAACCGGTAGGAGGATTTGGGGCTGAGCTAATACAGTCCACAGTACTGGTTTTTCGAGTAGAACCGAAGGATCACCAGGAAAGCGAAGCCAAAGGATTACATTGTGAGTAGGGTTGCCAAAATTAAATCTGCGTTTTTGCTCAAAAAAATCTTTTCATCTTAGATGGTGACCAGAACATTTGTGATGATATCTGTGTTGATAATTTAAAAATTTCATTTGAAAAGTGATTCAGCAATTTTTCTGATAGAGACAAAAAATAGATAAAAATATATGTATCATAAATTACTTATGGTTTGGCAAAAAAGAATACCTCTGTCAGTTCTCATTCTCATTTTTAATTTCGCAAAAAAAACATGCTTAGATACATAAGTTGGTGATGGTAAAATGAGTGAAAATAATGAAGTTTTGTTTTTAAAGATCTCAACTTTATTTTTTAAATGTTTGAGTATATTTTAAAAATCTGTTTAATCTGTTTAAATCCTAGAAATCTGTAATCTGTGAATACAGAATCTTGGTTTTAAAAACTCTGGAAAATCTGTAGAAATACCAAGGGGTAAGTCACTCAGCACAGAGTTCTCCAAGTAGATTCGCCACAGCTTGGGCACATCCATCGGCACACCTTCAGTACAATCAACAATCCATACGAAACTAACGATTTTAAATTGGCTCACCACTTTAGTAGCCTATTGGTCCCAAGCAAACGATTAACGTACCCTATTCTAGTTGAAATTCTATTACTACACTATGTTTGTTTCGATTCGCTATGAAAGTTTGACAGATAACATCAGGGGTGTGTGGATTCATGCAGAACATGTAGGGGTGAGTGAAATAGCTTGGGACTGCTTGGGACCGTTGTTCTGGTACTGAGTGAGCCAAAAATAATAATGATTTTCTTCGGGACCCAGTGGTCTTAGTGTTACCATAGAGGTAACTCTAAGACCACTGGGTCCCGAAGAAAATCATTATTATTTTTGGCTCACTCAGTACCAGAACAACGGTCCCAAGCAGTCCCAAGCTATTTCACTCACCCCTGCATGTTCTGCATGAATCCACACACCCCTGATGTTATCTGTCAAACTTTCATAGCGAATCAAAACAAACATTGCGTAGTACTAGAATTTCGACTAGAATAGGGTACGTTAATCGTTTGCTTGGGACCAATAGGCTACTAAAGTGGTGAGCCAATTTAAAATCGTTAGTTTCGTATTGATTGTTGGAGTTACCTCTATGGTACAATCTCGTAGGCATTGGATTGTTCATTAAATAAAATGGGAGCACTGCTGGACTGCTGTTATTGAAGTTGTTCACAACATTACGTGCTATTTGACTGTGTATTTCAGAGGGCTGTCGATTGCTTTCGATGCCGGTCACAAGTATTTTAGCTGCTACCCTAATAAAAAATAACCATAAACGAACGACAACCCAAATAATAGAACCATTCCACAAATGGTTTGGATGATACCCGGAACACGTCGTTAAGCAAAATAACCATAACAATTTTATTAGGGTACGCAAATGGAGTGTACTACGAACCGGAATGCAAGAATTGAGATGGATTGAATCATGCAATGGTGGCGATTGGATACGGAAAACTCAAAGGAGAAGATTCCTGGTCCAACCTCTAGGGCAACGATGGTTATGCTTTGATGGCGGTGAAGGGTAACAACTGTGGCCTTACCACCGATGCGATGTATGTAAATTTGAAGTGAGATTTCGGTTTAAATTTGAGGAGTTTTATTTTCGGATACGTGTCATCTTATACGAGATGAAATAAATGGTTTTCGATTTTTGTAATAAAAATAAAAGTTTATTAGGTTGAGTGGAAGTAGTAAAAATTCCGTGTGATTGTGCCGTTAAAAGTAGTTGGTCAATTTGTCGGCTACCAAACCAAATTCATTTGAACAATAACGAACTAATTTTCATGGCAAAATCACCCGGAATGTTTATTGCTGCAACTCGACCTAATTAACTTACAATTTCTAAACTGAATTTCACTTGTTCAGGTACAACGATCGAATTCTCCCAGAATTCCAACCCGATGGTAAAACCACACGTCTTAATTTGAAATCTTTTTTCTTGGCATAAACCATTCCGTCGAAAACCTCCGAGAGCTTCTTGCACCTTCACCTTCACCTTCAGCAGTTCCTCTTCTAGATTGAGCAGTAAAGTGTAATGCTTCTGAATCGTTTTCGTCGGATTGACCAGCAACATTGGGAGTAGCTGGACTTGTAGGTACTTGTTGAATACATCTACCGTCTGATGGTGACTCGGAGTCCTCCTTGGAGGGCATGATGTACGCGATTGGATCTGCTTCAGGAAATCGACCTTCTTCTTGCTGGTCAGGAAAAAGATTGACTTTTCGAACAACACCGTAATCTTATCGATCAGCCCCTATACCAGCAGCCAGGTCTTCAGCGAGGTTGATTTGCTGTACATAGTTTCCTCGTCTACGCCGACCGCCGTCAGAATGCAATCCACCTGCAGCAAATCATCATGGGAAAACTCTGGTTCCTTCCAGCTGGCGTAGAGGTGTTTTATTCGTCGGTAAAAGAAATCCTTATCGAGTACGATATTGGACATTTTGGGTGCCGTTGCGATGGCAAGCCTAAACATTCAAGCTGTCAGAAATACTGGGTTGCCAAATATACCATACTATTCGTATTTTTTGGAAAATCGCAGCTTGCTCTATGCCCTGCAATGCCGGCACAATCGGCAAACCAGCGGTACACTTGCGGCACACTGAGAAAAATGTTGACCCAATATTGGTGTGCGGAGTGACCTACCCCTTGAGAAATACAGATTTATTTGTAGTTTTGGTAACCCTGATTGTGAGATCTGACCACCGGTAGTTGTTAAGTTGAACATAAAATGCGTGTACGATGATTGAGAACAAAGATTTGCGTTTGTTTGTCTGTGATCTCACTGTTGTTGGTTTTAATGCTTTATAAATTCAATAATGATTCTCATTGTACCTAATCATCGATCCCAAACCATCTAAATAAGAAAACTGCTTTTCAACTTTGAGATGAAATAATCATTAAAGCTGTCTTATACCCCGTTCACATTACAGCCTATATCACGTAATATAGGCTGTCTTGCAATGAGCACTCATACATAGGATTTCCAGTGAAAACTAGATGTATGAGTGTTCATTGCAAGACAGCGTATATCACGTGATATACGCTGTAATGTGAACGGGGTATTATAGTCATCCTCATCGTGTTAATGTTGTTCAATAATTTACTATAATTTTGGCTCGTGTAGTTATCCTTGCTTAGTGCCATCGCATTGTCTTCCACCTAATTTTGCTCCACCTGAAAGCTCGCCTGAGACTGCATCCTCACTGCAACCAAATAGGACCTAAACGCAAACAATTATTTTGCACAATAGCACAGAGAACAGACGTCCAAGCTCGATCAGAAACTTGTGTAAAGTTAAGTGGAAACGTCGCCGTTACGTAGCGCCAGCATCTCCTGATTTCCTCTATCAAATTTGCACTTTCGGCCAATTTGGCGCTAGTATCGATAAATTATCTGTTGAAAATTTCCACTTGGCACTACCCGAGGCACTACCATCACTTAGTGTCTAGTGTAAGTTGCGCAACGCCAGCGCCATCAGGCTGTCAAACAGGGTTTTAAGTGAGGAAGTCGCCGTTAGTGGCGCTTAAGTCGAATAGGAATCTTTACACAAGTTTTTACAGAAACTTAGTTCGAGCCTCCACGTCTGTTCTCTGTGATAATAGGCTTCTTATGGCTTGCTTCTTTAAAATATTTCGATTATTAGCTAAAAATAGGATATAAAAAATAGTGTTAGGAATTAAAATGCGATTTACACAATGTTTACATTTTGATTTTAGGTCCATTTATATTGTTGATCCAATACTGTTGGTTGCATGTGATGATAGTTTAGCAAATTTGTGATCAGTGTTTTCCTTTTTGTGTACAGTTAAGAATTCTTATTCCCGGATGTTTTTTTTTTCGTCCATACTCTTTTCTTCGGATACTTGAACACCATTAGTTTGCTGAAAAAGGATAGCATCCAGCTGCCAACGCTCAAGCACAGAGAACAGACGTTGAGGCTCAAACTAAATTTCTGTAAAAACTTATGTAAAGATTCCTATTCGACTTAATCGCCACCAACGCCGACTTCCTCACTTAAAAACCCTCTTTGACAACATGATGGCGCCGAGGATTGCGCTGGCGTTGCACAACTTACAGTAGACACTAAATGCCGGTAGCGCCGAGTGGTAATTTTCAACCGAAAATTTATCGATACTAGCGCCAAATTGGTCGAAATTGGAAAATTTATAGAGGAAATCAGGAGATGCTAGCGCTACGTAACGGTGACGTTCCCACTTATCTCTACACAAGTTTCTGATGGAAGTTGGACGTCTGTTCTCTGTGGCTCAAGCATCTAGGAATTCAAATTAAGGAATATGGGCAAATCCTAATAATGGAATACGGGTAGGAACCCGACTGTAACTTGGGCTTTCTTCAAATTTTTCTGTTGTGGATTGAACCACACCGTAAAACGCTGTACAGACTGGAGAGTTATAACATGTTATAACGGTTGTCAAATAATTGTAACACAGAAACCACCATCAAGATAGCGCTATAACATGTTATAACTGTGTAGTCTGAAGAAGGCATAAGTTTGTTTTTATGAGTTCGTCTTCTTCTTTCTATTGGTATAGTTTCTGAAATTAGGTTCTGAATAATAGAATGAAATTAGCCTCACTTTGTGAGCAAATCCACTTTTTGCAAAATAGTGCCGAATTTAACTCAATTATGAGTCGCTATTATCGTCCGTGTACATCTTGTTCCCGGGAATTTATACATTCTGCAATTTAGTACCCAATCCCGCAAGATAAATTTAAACACAGCCAATCTTTCAAGCCTGCTCGTAAGTCGTCAATGTTTATCTCTCACACCAAAACAAAACACAGTTGCTGCTTCGTAATGTACCACTAGTTAGCACGCACACGGCCGACCGCCGATGGGAAAACAAAACGATCCGCTTCAACCACAAGAACACATCACACACACACACACACGCTTCCGACGGAACATAAACTTCCCTATTCGTACACGCACGCACACTTTTGTTCTTGTTCGGAGCTGCATGCGGATTGGTACGACACCCCATCAGCTCTCGGTTTTCCTCAACACTTGGACATGGACTTGAGCTCGGTTCCCGTCTTGCCTGGTCGTGTCCATTCATTCGCTAGTGAAAAGTATGGCCGAACGAACGTCGTGAAAAAAGTCGCAGCACGGGTTAGTCTGAAAAATAATTTCACCAAAATTTTCAACTGCTGGAAGGAAATTCTGTGCGGAATATGGAAAACTCCTGCAGTCGGTGATGGGAATTAGTGAACTTTATCGAAGCGGGTGCCGTGACATGGATGGAAAGTAGATTTTCCGTCGATTCCGATTGGAAGCGCCGCACCCAAAGAGACTCCGATGGACTGGTTGTGTGACTGCTGCTAAGAGTCTTGTGAATGTGTGTGCGCGCGCGGTGGATTGGAGCCCAGCGAAGAAACATCGGCGGAATTTCGAGGCCCCACGACGGAGAAGACCCGTTATTCCGGCAGATTGAAAAACTAAAATGAAAATAGTGGCGAAGTGAGATCGATGCGAATACACTTAGCAGCCACAGCAGGGGGAGGTGGTTGTTCTTGATGACCAGCTGCAAATTTTCGCGAGGATTTTCCCTGAACAAACGTCAAAATTGTGTCAATATTTCCATTTTCCAGTGTTTTAATTTGTTTTGATTTGTTTTTTTCTTTAGCGCAAACAGTGTCAGTTTTCATTCAGTTTTGGGTGAACAGATTTTCAATTTCGAGTCTTTTTCATTATTGTTATTTTTATTCATAGTGGTAATTTTAGTGTGATGACATCATTTTGACCCCCGCCCGAATAAAATTGTGTGTCCGTTGAAGAAGAAAAAAACGAGTGCAGCCTGGCAGAGAGGAAGAGGTGGAGCGAGCGAGCGAGTTGTTGGCGAAGAAGCACTCGAAGAGAAGCCGTCGTGTTTCTTGTTGTGTGTGGTGAATGAGGGGGAAACAAACAACCGAAGGAAAGAAGATCGAAGCAAAAGCGACAGCAGAAGAAGAAAAGTGTGTGCATTTTTGTTAATTTGTAGGCCGAAAGGTGTGTGAACCGTTCCGGAGAGTCTTGGAAATCCGGAAGCGGACCGCTGGCTCGTCGTGTAAAATCGAAAAAGTAAGTTCCCTTGTGGTCAGGGTTATAAGAGGAAAATATTTCACGCTACTCTTCTCTGTTTGGAGAAAATCGATTTTTCCTTTCGGGTCGGCTGACTGTTCGGGGGTGGCGAGGGGGAGGGTCCCGGCTTGAGGGTGCCGGGAATCATTGTGACGGGCTGATGTCGTGATCGAAAACTCCACGACTTGGCAACAGTACCGTATAGCAGGGGCGAAATGTCCGCCGTCTGTCGTCGGTGCGGTGGAAGTGGAAAACAGGCGACCAGGTGGGAAGTGAGCGCGGGAAGGGCAAACGGGACAAAGTAGAAAAAATGTATAACATTTTTCATAGGCCGTAAACACGCACATGGTTGGGTTCTTTTAGTGGGTTGGGAATCAAGTTGCTTTTAACTGGAAGCTCACGCTCTCTTAGCGACTTAGCTGGAGAAAATATCCTGTGTCGAGCAATGTTAAATTTTAAAAGAAAATGTTAATCAAAAACTTGTTGCTCGTTTTGGATCGGGCTGTCTAACTTAAGTTCCTTGTCGAAGTCGCTGTTGGTTTGGATCCATTAAATCCCTCAGGAATTACTGTAGCTCATTCAGTCATGTAGGCTCGGCAGGTGCTTAAATTTGTTCAAACTCCACGCGACGAGTGGAATTTCAAGCGGAACTTTCAGCACCGCTGCATCTGGCGGGCTACCATCTTAACGTTTCCTCAATAGGTTGCTGGGAGAGCGAATCATAAACGTTTATGACCAGGAAGCCAAATTGAGCCCAATTCCAGTCGTTTCCTTGGAGTACTTTAGCGTACTCTTTGTCCTTCGATTAGAAGATTTTCTTGTTTGAACCGTGCTTTTCATCGAACTGAATTTCTTACTTTGTGGCAATTCAAGTCTTGCTAGATTGGGTTGTTCAGGGGTATTGACGTAATCGTAATCTGCATTAAAAATGGAACTGAAATCCAAAATTTCATCAATTTTGGTGCACTGGGGCTATTTAAATAAGTGTGATTACATTAGCAAAAATCACCATCTTAGTGCCCCTCGGTGGGACTTTATATGGGAGCGAGCTGCCATCTAATGATTTAGTGTCAACAATTAAAAATTTAAATCTTGATTTAATAATCGAGCAGCATGTTTATGAGATCGATAAAAATATTGTTGAGCTCAGAAAAAGAAGCTCTTTCAGATGATGTATAAAAACCGGTATGTTTTTCGAAATTAAACAACCCAATTGTCTTGAAGGTCCCATGAGCTCAACCGATTGTTGAAGTGGTTTTCAGCAGAGAATTGCGGCCCATATGCAAACCAATGGAGTAGTCAATCGGTAGAAGCCGAGGGATAAAATATACTTCGCCTTCATTTGGAGAAAAAAGTCAATTGAGCAGCGCCTATCTTGATTGCATTGGCAGTGTTGCCAGTGCAGAGTATGTCTAGGTCACTGAGGCAGGGCTACAAAATGGTGGTGAGTTGACAACCTGGAAGGAGCGGGATAGCTAGCTCTGATCCTCACAAGTTCCTACCTCACGCCTCCCCGAGTCATATGATAACAAAAGACTACCAGCTGAAACATGGACACAGCTGGGTGGCGTAGCCTGGGCAATGTTTCCAGTCCGGCAATAGCGACGCGAACACTGCCGCGGTAACCATAGTACGGTGATAGAGGAAATGCTTCACCAAACCCGAGCGTCTGTTCACCATGGAGGTGTGGCTCAAAACGGCGTCTGTTATCCATGTTAGGAGCGGCAGATCACCGTTCTAGTGCCAGAGTGGGAGTCTAAACAGAGCTGTGCACGATGGTTCCCTGGCGAGACAGCCTAACAAGCCGCCCTGGAAAAAATATAAGGTTGCAAATACCGAAGAAAGAAATACGATTGAAAACTCAGAACATGGAACTGCAAATCGCTCGGCTTCCCGGGTTGCGATACGAGGCTGGCGACAAAACTAACCATGGATCGAGTAGAGTGAAGACGACTTCTTCGGACAGCAGAGGACATCAAGGCCTTAGCCTGATTGGTAAGGCAAGTATAGCTTGCCAAGACAGTTTGTTTTGAATCCGCTTCTAGATTAAGGTAGTTCTGAGAAGAATTCTATGATGACTGTGAGATGGTCCAATTTCATCAAAGCACCGTTAAAATGATAACAATGCCACGAAACCTCAGTTTGTGGAATGACGTTAGAGCTTGATGTTGGAAGAAGGCATATAACAAAATAATAAAAAGCGCCGGACACGACAATGGCACAAACTGCTCCCAATTGGGAAACGGTTAAGAATCCAAATTGTCACGAAATGTGTTGTTTATTAATTTATTTGATAATAAACACTTTATCTTCCGCTATCCAATAAGCCTCCTCCATCAGAACGGGAGCCGCTTCCAGGGGTTTCATTGTATGGCAGTATCGCCAACGGACGGCAGAGCGCTTCCATTGCAATTATGGGCGATAAACGTTGTCATCACTCACACACTCATCACGAAATGGTTGCTTTCCAAATTCGAAGACGCATCGACCGAAAGAACTGCCGATGAAGAACAATGAGGTGGACCACACAATGGTTGCTGCCGAGTAAATAGACGATCACGTGACGCAAACCGAGAGTGGCCTGCTTGTGTTGACAGCCGAGTGAACACTGGAACGAAATCTGGTAGGAGCGGTTAATCCGTTTGACGATCGTTCAAGAGATTGCATGTGAGAGTCAACTTTTCTAGTGTGTCAATACAATCCCTAGTGAGTGACAGCTTGACTCACGCGAGAGTTTATGGATACCTTGAGCGGTAGTTCCTTGACAACTTGACTGCTGCGTGAGTCAATCGATACCTTGGGAGGACTGCTCCCTTTCGATCGCTTCAACTCCAAAACTAACTGCCAACGAGCCATCGGACTTTACCAGTAGACATCAGTGGACGACGAGGAAGATTCCCTTCTCACGGAGGCGAACAATTACTCATGTAAGCATCCAACCCGACTCTCCCCCCAATATCCAAAGTTTACTTGATCGGAGCGAGGGGTTGGAACAAGCCGAAGATTCTGACCGACCACACAATCAAACACCAATTCAGAGCTGGTGCCAATCCTTCAGCGGTGGCACAAGCGGTACTAGAACTCCAGAAGCGTAAATATGGAGGAAACACCATTTGGTACTAGGATGGTTCGGAAGCCCATTTTTTCGGCTCAAACCTCGCGGAATGCCATAGACTCCCGGATCAGTGCTCAATTTTCTCGGCGGAAGCCATTGCCACCTTCATTGCAGCCACCATTCCCGAAGATCGACCAATAGCCATCTTCACCGACTCCGCTAGTGTGGCAGTCGCACTGGAATCCGATACGAGCAAACTCCCTCACGGTGCTCCTCTGACCGTTATTATAAAAAAAATTAGTTCAGTCCGCATCGTGCTCTCTTGCCGTGCGGATCTATTTGCTTTTTGCTTAAGGAAGTGTTACTACTACCTAAAGCTACAACAAATTTAAGCAGCACTTTTCAGTGCTCAACCTGTAAAAATTTTCTACCTTGTTCAACTCCTCTTATTCCTCTTCGATCCTTGTTTGGACCCTACCCGAGGTAATCCTTCTTGGATATCGATTTGGAAAATTCCTCTTCGATCCTTCAGATTCTTATAGTAATCTGCTTGGAAGTCGATTTGGATAAAAAATTTACTGCCGCCATGGCGCCTAAACGCAAAAGAAAGGGGCAAACTCTTGACCCCCCTTCTGAAGAAATTAATTTGAGTAATCAATTTGATTTGCTCACGGATGATGAGAATGATCCATCATCCAAGAAAAATTCTAGTAAACTTTCCCGGCTTAATGCCAAGAAGGAAAAGATTCCCCCTATTGTGATAACCACTACCGATTTCCATGCTCTTCGCATGGAACTTTTGAATTTCGTGAAAGTTAAGTTTTCACTACAAATTGGACGTCGGGGTGAATGCCGTGTATTGGCTGAAACCTTGGACGGATTTAAATGTCTTCTCAAGTATCTTACTGAGAAGAAGCACAAATTTTTTACTTATGACACCAAAACTGAACGTGTGTTCAAGGTTGTCAAGGAATTACTGCCCAGTGGTGAATCCCTGGATCAGATCAAAGATGAACTGGCAATATTACTTGGAGTTGTGCCACTCCAAGTAATCAAAATGAAAATGAAATCCCGTCCTGGCGATTCGCGCAACGGGATTTCTAATGATTTTTATTTAGTTCACTTCAAGTCTAGTGAACTAAACAACGTTAAGGCCTTAGAAAAAGCTAGCCTTATGCTCCATGTCCGAGTGAAGTGGGAACACTTCAGGAAGACTGGAGGAAATTTCCAAAACCTCACTCAGTGCCGTAAGTGCCAGGGATGGGGTCACGGAACTAAAAATTGCTACATGCCAGCTAAATGCATGAATTGTAGTGATTCCTCTCACGCAAAGGACGACTGTCCTGTGAAGGAAGATCCTAAGAAATTTAAATGTTCAAATTGTGGTGAAAACCACAAATCCAATTTTTGGGAATGTAAGACTCGCAAAGCGATCCTACAATCTCGTTCTAACCGTCAGGTAGGAAACGCTCCACGTTTCCGACCAGGTACAAATTCCTCTGCTGTTAACAACGGTCAGCGAGGAACAAATTCTACATTCGTACCCGTAGGTACAAATATCTCCCCTGCTTCAAATGTTTCATCTGTACCTACTCCCCTCGCTGCTAACAATGTTCAGCGAGTTAATGGAGCTACCTATGCTGCTATTGCAGCAGGTAGAAATCAAAATACTAACCAACGTAATTCTAACGGAAGTTTTGACAATTTTGACTTAGGAAGCATAACTGCCCCCAAAATGGAATTTTTACAGAATTCATTAATTGACATGATTTCTGATATGCTTAAATCTAACTCCATGTTTGATGCTATTCAAACTGGAGTAAAATTTGCAAATAATATTGTCATGACTTTAAAATTCAGTAATGGATTTTAAAGCATTAAATATTGTAAATTGGAATGCTCGATCTCTTAAAGATAATGAAGACGAGCTATTTAACTTTTTGAG